CATCATATTGACAAACTCTTGCTACATTATACCTCCTGATGGTATCCAATCTGTATAAATTTCAGACCTAGACCGGTATCTATTTTGTTGCAACTTTTTGCAACATTATATCAGATCCACTAGAACATGAACCCTCACTAGTAGTGGAGGCCTTTTCTATTTATCTCTTGGAAACCATAAGTAGGCTTCAGCAGTTGGTCCTATTTTAATATTTAGTTTTTTATTTTCCTGCAACTTGTATTCACACTGTCTATTTATGTTTTCCTTATTTATCCTGTAGGGATTTAATAAAGTTATTTAATATTTTTTTTGCTTTTTATATAATAAGGCACTTTACAACTACTACTGGACTTAAAGCCTGCATTAGGGTATCAGGACTGGAATTGGGCTTGCCCTTTCGTAAATCCGTTCCAGTCTTCCTTATCATTTCCATGTTTGGTTATGCCCTCAGTAACCTACAACCATTACAATTTCGGTGAACGTTTTACTTCACTCACTGTCGTTCTATATTTCTCAAGTTGACACTCCAGTGGTTACAGCAAAAAAAGGTGAAGGTTCTGGAGTGGCCTTCACAGTCTCCTGACCTTAATATCATCCGGCCAATCTGGTGAGATCTCAAACATGTGGTTCATGCAAGACGACCAAAGACGAATAAGCAGCTATACCACATGCAAGAATTAGGGGCCTCATAGACAACTATTACCAAAGACTGCACACTATCTTGATGCTTATTTTTACAATAGTTCCTTAAACACAGCTGTTCATTACTAGACACAGATTCCAGATACAGTTTGTTTCAATAAGGAAAACCTGGAAAACATGAGAAAGGTAAAGCACAGAAAATGGCCTATCCTTGCACATTTTATGTGAATGGTCCTTCTTACACTGTGAGATATGTGTTTCAAACATAAAGGCTGTTGGAGTTGTGAAGTGTAATATTGTGTATACCAGCAACTTTCATCAGTATGACCTGCACAGCATGAGTGAACATTCTCAGAAATCAGTGCATGTCCAAGTGATGGAGGCTCTGTTTCCTGTGACTCCGTTAACACCAGTGTCTCATCTCACCCTGTAGCCACTTGCAAACAATAATACATACTTGTCAGAGCCTGGCCTCCTGGTTGACTCCTGATACTGAAGTACTCTCAATCCCACAACACTTCCTGGTTGTTAAAAAAGCACAATGGAAATAAACTCAAGAGGCAACAATTGCTCAGACACATACCTTACAAAGACTTCTCATTGAGCTGGTTTGGGAAGGCTGTAATTGGAAAGCCAAGAGATCTGCAGCTTTTACTTGCTATTTTTAGATATAAACTAGACAGAATCCTGACCTTGAGACTTTCCAACATCAATGAATGCAAAGTAAGGACCACTTTATCTCAGATTTTGCAAAATATGGCAAAGTGCATTAACACACATATCTACTAAATATGAAAAACTAGCCACGTTTGCTTGAGATGGAGCTTTTAAAAATACTGGGGGTTGGGCATAGTCCCTTCTTGCCACCACTGGTGGGTATTGGGTGGGGGACTTTAAAAATGGGCTGTGGATAGATCTTTGTCTACCCCTTGCCCTCACCTGGGCCAGTGGTTGGAGCTATTAAAAAAAAAATTGACAGGCATCCTAATAACCTCCCCCGTCCCCCCATTTCCCCACCCATGATCAGTAGGTGGAGGCGCCTTACTAAACCAACCCAAAGGTTGGCAAGTCTCGTCTCTATTAATTATACAAGAGGTACCTAGTATTCTCAAAAGCTGCAATGTTTTACATTGCAGGACTAAGGGGGGCAGGGACACTGCACCCAGACCACTTCAATGAGATGGTCTGGGTGCCTATAGAGTCCCTTTAAGGTTAGAATGACATTTAGGGTTAGTATCAGATTTTTACATATTTAGGGAAATTAGAGTTTTCTTTTTAGTATATTGGCATGAAGCTTTAGAATGGCTGTGTGAAAAGGCCCAAAATGTCATATGAGAAATAGCCCAGTGTGTCTCCCCGGTGTGTTGGTGGTTATTGGACTGTTTCACTTGGAATAATTCAACAGCCTGGTACACACCAATGGGCTCAAGCATCTGATTATTTTGACAGTTGTAGCTATCAGACATCGTATTGCTAGACTGCCTCCAGTCTAAAGAATCCATTAACAGCCTGGTACATGCACCTTGTGTCTTACATTACCCCTGTCCAGCCCTATGTCAGTAAGAATCTGCCAGTTTTAGAATGGTGCTGTAACCGCAGGTGGTTCCCTTATTTACGACTATAATGTCTTAAAGCATAGAACTTAGTAGGACTAACCATACAGATATCTTAGCCATAATTTTATATAGTTAGTAAGAGATCCTCTATTTAACATATATAAATAATTGAGAATACAATATAAAATAAGGATTGTCTTGGAAGCAATAGTTTTGACTTTTTGGATATTTATTATATAAAAATATAAATATAAAATCCATTATAGCAGAGTTTATAAGATTAAATTACATGCTTGCAAATATCATTAATAGGTTAACATACCCTTCTGAACATGTCATCATGTCAGCCTCTCTGTCATTTTAAGATGGAGCAGCATCTGTCTCCAAGTCTCTCCTCTGTCTTAACATTTAAAAGTACACCTATTTATACCTTAGGGTTTTTATACCATTTTAGGGTTACCGTAGTTCATATATGAAAAAGTAACACTTCTTTTACTTTATTAATTTTAGGACCTCCCTTAACTTGGCAAACATACAAGGCCATAACTAAAGGGTGCATACGTCATGGAAATTTTCCTGACTTAGTTCAAGATGGCATCTTAAAGTCTGAATAGCTTATCTGTTGTTTATACTAAGACGTAAGTGCACAGTCGTGGGAGATTCCTGGATTTGGGGAAGTTCCATGAACTTGGGGTTAACATGGTATATTGGGTACTGAAAGAATCGTAGTATAGCCTTGAAGCTTGTTTATGCATTATTGTTATTGTAATTCGTCTGGGACAAAATGGCGCAAACATATTATGCAATGGGGTTATTGCTTAAAGAAACAGTTCTGAAAAACAATATGTTCCATTTCTAACACCTTGTCAGTTTGCAATATCTCTTAAAGACAAAGTACACAGTTTAAGAAATACAACATTTCATTCTTAAACCTGTAATATTTGCATTTGCCCATAACAGTGCCACATCAATCAGATACCTGGAACAGCCAATAAGACTAATGGTAAAATGGTACATGGGAAAATAAAAGTTGACATGATCAGTAATTACAGATACCTGCAAAACGATATAATGAAGTAATTGTATTGTTGTTACTATAAACTACTTTTTTTTGTTGTTTTTGTTTGTACTCTTTTTGTGAATTTGATGTATGTATCTCCATCTGCAATGTCTTATATGTATTCAATATAAAAGTATTGCATATATTGATGTAAAAATATAAAACCTTTAATAAAAAATATTTGAAAAGAATAGAAACACTGCTTTCAACTTTTGTGAATGTATGGATGTCAGTCCTGACCTATTCTATAATTTTTAACCATTTTCTTCGCACCCTCATTATACCTGACAATTTATAAGCACCCTCATCATTAAAATCTCCCAGTCCATTTTTAAATAAAAATACAAAAGGAAGCACCTGTATGGTAATACATTTATACATTTAAATACTTTTTTTTTCTTTCATTAACTAAGTTACTTGTACATGTGCTCTTCATTCACTTCAATCTTTATCTTCTTTTCTCTAAATGGGTACCCACAACATTCCTTCCCCATTACGGATACTGATCAGGGCACATGGGGGTACATATATCACTAGGCACAAAAAGGCCCTTTAATGCAACAAGTGACTGGGTAACTACTCTGGAACAGCCTGCCTACCCCCATCAGACTCTCCCCTAGTCTTCAATCATTTAAGAAGTGCCTTAAAACCCATCTCTCTAGGAAAGCATATTGCCTCCCAGAGTAACCTCTAGCTCACATGCCTGTCCCTTGCTCTCTCCTAAAGGGCCACACTCCATTCTCAGCCCCAGTTCTGCTTCACTCCCACCTTGTTTGATTGCCATCCCCCACGGTGCCCTTCCTATTGTGTTTTTATACTCCCTCTAGGGTGTAAGCTTCTTTGAGCAGTGTCCTCATCAACCTACTGTTCCTGTAACATTTTGTTGTGTGTGTGTGTGTGTGTGTGTTTGTTTTTAACAAAAAATAGAAAGAATAAAGGAAACAACCACACCAAACAAGAAACAGTGTCAAAATCTCCCTCCTTATTCATGACCTATTTGGGTATGATCTCTTGTGGGACAGTGATGGAAACATATGGTCTGCACCTTCAGTAGGGTACCTGACAGTTCTGACAGTGAAGGTAATGTAAGCATGCAACACACTGTATTCTCAAGTTCTCCATTCTTTGCCCAGTTTGATGCACATTTGTACACTGATAGGCTCTTCTTGTATTATCCAAATGCATGTCAGTTCACTTTTTTTGATGATCACATTGGTTGTTTTACCAACACCCTATTAATGTATATTTATATTTGTTTAGGAAAGACTGTCTCTCTCTTTTTTTTTTTTGTATGTTTGTGCTTTTTTCTTTCTTTTTTGACCAAATGTAAGTTAGCACATTCTGAATACAGCCATAAGCGAGCCTGTTTGAAAATTGCTAAGAGACTAAGCAACACATATCATTACACTGCAACCAACCATTATTTGTAAAATAGGTTTTTATAATATTAATAGGTTATGTTATATTGGTGTACTCTATTACTCTTTTCTGCTGTATATAGTTATTGACCATGCAGTATCATTCAAATAATAAATGTGTGTATTTGCTTTGTGATTTCTTTTTAATATATATTAGTTTCATATTACCTGTAACGCATCTAATGAGATGTTATTTTTAAAGAGACACTATAGTCACCAACAGCGCTGTATTTAGCTGACAAGGCATTTGCCTTGGGCGTCACTTTCAGGGGATGGCAAAAAAAAACAAAAACACCCCCAATCGCCCTGGCAGATGCCTTGACAGCCTCTTGTACTGTGGGGCCTAGGAGCTAGCCACCTTAGGGCCTGGAATGCACTGATGTAGGATGCGGGTAGTGAGGGAGCACTCTCCCCTGAGCTCTTCCTGCTCAGCTCCCTCGCGTGCACCGTAGTGATGCCGGAGCATGACGTCACTCCGGCCCGGCATCACTAAGAGGAGCGCGAGGGAGCTGAGCTGGAGGATCAGAGCTCCCTTCGCCACCCGCCTCCACCGTCCACCTGCCTGCCTGACCGACCACCTACCTGTGCCTGTCGAGCCAGCCCCAATGGACCCTAGGGAAGAAAATACTTCAGCACTTTAAAAAGTAATGTGAGTAAAAAAAAATTGTGAGTGTGTGTGTATTAGTTAGTGTATTAGTGAGTGTTAGTGTGTGTCTGTTAGTAAGTGTTTATTAGTGAGTGTGTGTGTCTGTCACTGAGAGTGTATATGTGCTTGTCAGTGAGTGTGTATGTGTGTTTGTCAGTGAGAGTGTGTGTTTATCAGTGAGTGCGTGTATCTGTGTGTGTTTATGCATGTGTCAGTGTGTGTATGCGTGTCTGTCAGTGAATGTGTGTGTCTGACACAGAGTGTATATATGTCAGTGAGTTTGTATATGTGTGTTTCAGTGTGTGTGTGTCTGACACTGAGTTAGTGTGCGTCTGTCAGTGAGTGTGTATTCATTTCTGTCAGTGAGTATGTATGGGTCTGTTGGTGAATGCATGTCTGTCACTGTTTATGCGTGTCTGTCGGTGAATGTGAGTTTGTGTGTAACTGTGAGTGAGTGTAACTGTGAATGAGTGAGTATGTCTGTGAATTTGTATGTTTCAGTGAAAGTGTGTCTTGGTTAAACAGTGTGTGGGACAATGACTGTGTCTCTGTAAGTGAGTGTATGTCAGTGCATGCATCAGTGAGGGTGTGTGTTTGTCAGGAAGAGAAATTTGGAAGGGGGGAGGGTGTGCCCGAGTTTTGTCATGCCTAGGGCAGTACAAAACCAGAATACACCACTGGCCACCAGAACCACTACAATTTAATGTAGTTGTTCTGGCATCTATAGCCTGTCCCTTTAGAGAAAAGGCAGTGCTGATATTGCTGACTAGGAACAGCATTGGATTGACTGAGATCATCAAGATGGAAGCGTGGCCAGCCGCGGTGAGGCCAGGTGAGTAAAATTACCTGTGCAATGAAGGGGGCCGAGGACCTACATAGTTAAACACTAGTGTTGGGAATACATGTGAGTATTCCTGACACAATAGTGTTCCTAAAAGTTTAGAATAAAAAGATTTTTAGAATATGCATTTTTTTTCCCCAGAGAAAATAGAAACAAAATTTTGGTTAATCACAATCCATGATGACGTCATTTTCAACAAAGAGAAAATATCAGCTTGTTTGATGAAATAAAGATTCTTAATTATATATAGTACATACACATGAAGGTCAATTTTATAAAATATAATTTATTTATTAAACATTATATGCAAAGGCTATGAAATAAAATCTTGAAAATTATTTATCTTTAATTATAGAGACACTGTTAGAATTGGATTGTCATATTCTTGTACAAGCCTCAGATTATCATCAGATACTACATGTATGACCAGCCTCCTGCTACATGCCTACTTGAGAACCAATGAGATTTGCCATTGAGATTAATGTTAATCATCAGGTTGTGGACAAGGCTTTGGCTCAATTTTCTACCCACCCCAATTCTTTTTATCTTTTAATATGTGGTTTTGTTTTTTTGTCTGGTCTGCAATATGTTTTGGGTATTCTATCAGCAAATATGAAAAGAGACAGATTTCCGGATCAGCACATTTCAAAGTTCTCTGGTACTATATGCTCTACATCTAGATAAATCTAGGAACCTATTTGAAATTTTCTAGTATAGCAACAGAATAATGAAGCAGATGATGGCAAATAACCGAATTAGAAATATTTTAAAAAATATATACGAGTGGAAAAGTGCAAATGCTCTTATACACATATAAACTGCAATTTCATTTGTGGCCTGGATGTAAGTATTCTTGGATATAACTAAAGTGTGCATCAGAAGTCATCACTTCCAGCATCGATGTCCATAACATTTGGATTGTTATATGTGATGTCAGATTCAACAGCAACTATTTCATCAGCAGCTTCATTAACCATCTGGCTGTGTGTCATTTCATTCATTACATTTTCAGATGCATCAAAATCTAAGGTATCAGGTGGACCCATGGATGGAATATTTTCACTCATAGCATTTCCTGATGAATCTAAGGTTTCATGTGGAATAGTGGAAGGATCTTCATGTTGCTCATGGTTAGAAAAAGGACCTTCTCCCCTTATGCCCCGTAATGCAGTTACTGGCCTGTCACTCCTCAGTCTTTTCTTCAGCTCCTCTTCCTTTGTCTGTAATATTAAAGGCATACAATTACTCACACTAGTAAAATTCATTGAGTCTGACTAAAGTTACATTATCCTTTTCATGTAAGAACTTCTCATGCAGTAGACAATAATGAGACAAGGACCATGACATGGATGGATGCTAATTGACCTGTCTAGTCTTCTAATTGTCTTTTAAAAAACCACAAGCTTATTTTTTGATTTTGGTGCCTTCTCTGGGTGTATCTATCAAAAGATTAATTCCTTTCCATAGTGTCACCCAGAGAGCAACATTTACTTAAATAAGCTTGTTTTCTGTCATTTTGTCATAAAAATATTATTTAATGCGGTTATGTAGTTAAATATAGAATTTGGATAAATATCTATAAAAATCCACTTACCTTAAAAAATACTCAACGTGTTGTAAAGCAACTACTAGAACCCTATTCTTGATTTTACTTGGATCTTTGACCATGATATATATATATTTTTTTAATTCTTTATTTTATTTGTGCATGGAAATTCACATGTAGCACACCTTGCCACAATAGCCAGAGTCGAACAAAGGTTTACGTTAGTTAGGCAGTGGAAAAAACTTTGCACATTTTTAAATTATTAACGCTTAACATAGAGTTATATCTAGGCTGATTATTAATAAAAATAAGAAAAGGTTTAGCGTAAGACAGGTTATAATGGTGATAGAGAACATTGCAGGCTAGTTGTACAAGCTTACGTTACTATGTAATAGATATGCTAGTCATTAGCTGTATCTGGCTAAACAAGCTGAATAGATCAATATAAGCTTCACATGCCCGTATCTAAGTTTCACAGGCTAGGAAGTCCAGCAGAGATTAGCTTAGGCAGGCTAAGTAGACTGATATTGCTAGAGAGACGAACAACAAGATGCCTCCATTGAACAGATTAGTAGATAGGGCAAAAAACAAAACAAAAAAAAAGGTCACAGGCAATATAACAAATACAAAAAGCGAATGCCGTGTCAAAAAATATTGTGGCTGCAGGATTGTGGCTTGAATGAGATATGAGTCCATAATCTGTGGCATTGTCTCATGTATTATGAGTGCAGGCCTGTGTTTAGAGTCCCGATCAGCCCACGCCTGTTCTGGTCGGTACATAATAAACGAAGGATAAGGAGCTTTTCTGGCTAGAGTTATCAAAGTTAGAGGAGGTAATCAACGTATGCACCAGTCATTTCCCAGAGGCAAGCGGCATCTTTGGGGTTCCGCCATCGGTCCTTTTAGCCGATGCCCATGAGTGGGGGGTCAGTAACCCAGGAGTGAAAAAGTTTTGGGTGTTGTGGCCCTAACTGGAGCCAGTGGGGCTGGCTGGGGCATTGTAGAAGCGGGACAAGCACTGGCATACCTCGCTCCCTTGGGCATGTAAGGCCAGTCCTGCTCGCACGACAGTTGACAGGTGTTGTCAGTCCTTTAATGCGCCGGTTGTTTCTGGCACTGTCCGGATGTATGAGCCACCACTGGGTCCCGGTATATCGGTGGGGATGGCTTGGATCTGTTCTCAGAGCTATTGCAAAGGTTCGGCGTGTCGGCAGTGGTGAGGATTTCTGCCTTACAGCTCTGGGTGCCCCTCCGCCGTGCCTGCTGCTATTATCTTGTTAGGTTGGTGATCGTTGTGCCCCGTGATGTGAGTCTGGGCTCTGTGTTTTCCCCTTCTTGGTGGAAAACACAGAGCCCCCAAGAAGGGGGTGGATAGGGGGTCCTATGGAGGTCGACCCCTGATGCTCTCTACCCAAGAGGGCCCCGTGTTCGGGGGGGTTGTAGCTGGAGGTTCCCACACTCGTTGAGGAGGTTTCCCAAGTCTCCCCTTCACTTGCTTTTTGTGTTTCATAGTCTCTTTATGATGTGGCCCAATTGGCTGTAAAAGTGCCAGTAGTTTAGCCCAAAATACTTCAAATATAACATCAATGGAAATTTGAGAGAAGAGTTATTAAATAAAAATTTAATAAAATATCCAGGAGTGGTCTGTAGCTTTAAACTAATAATGCTTCAAAAACTTGATAAAAGAAAAATGGAACATTAACATCCAATTGTAGCTTCTTCTGTAAAAGAAACTTGGATTAGTGAATTCCAATGTATAACAGTCTATGACTTGTAATTAAATTGGTAACTGTCTGTTGTTACTCTGTATGTGTAAGCTAATTCAGTTAACTCCAGTTATGGGTGAACTGGTATTTGAATACTGGATTAGTTCATTAATATAATACAATATGAACAGTTTATATGGTCCTTATAACTGAAATATTGTATCTATTGCCACACTGTTAGTGATAGCTAACAAACTGTATTTAGTGACTTACAGTTTAAATAACACTTTACTCCTAGAAATAGGAAATAAAGTTAAAAGTCCAAGTGCTAATGAAAATAATTTATTAATGAATAAAATAGTTAAAAAGAAAAATAAGAACGATCCACTCACATTATGTCAAATACATACTGGATACTTTTGCAGGGGAATAAAATGAGCAGCTGAAGAAAAATAGATGTGTTGTCCGATCACCACTTGATGAATGGATCGGCAATGTTCTTAGCCGCGTGCGTGTCACCCGGTTTCCCTCCTGCGTTCCAGCTAGAAGTCGGCAGTATTTCGGTGAATGCCGAAAAGCAATGTGGTGTCGTTCTAGGTGTCGTCCTAACGCGTTTCGTGAGTCTTCTCTCACTTCATCAGAGGATGCTTGATAGGACCATCTCGCAGGTTTAAATAGCTAGCAAATTGGCTGGCTTAGATTAACTCTTAATAGTTCATAGCACTGGATTCTTTTATATAGATCATACATAATTACAAATAATTAACAGTAAAATTAAACATACAGATGATAAATTCACAATATATATTGGACCTATACATATTGTTAAAAAAATAAAACTGAGAATTCATTCAACAATAATAGATATAAAAATATTAACAAATATTACACATTATACAAATGTGAGTAAATGGTTAAAACGAAATAATTTTTAAAATATGTTTACTATCATTTTAATTATAGATCTCAAAATCAGATGTTCTGTTGTACATATATTGGTCAATTGATATATTATAATAAGACTCATAATATGAAATACATAATAAAAATTTACATAATAAAAACTCAAAAAATGTAGCAAAAAAGATGTCAATATATAACTCCACTCAAATGTGATATGTATCTAAAAGGAAAAAAAAACAAAACAAAAAAAAAAAAAACACCTTTATAAAAAAGCCCTTAATTCAAAATCCACATTTAGACCTTTAGGTTCTAACGAATCTAGCTGAAATATCCATTTAGCCTCTGCTTTGTCTAGTTCTTTCTCTAGATCTCCTCCTCTCCAGGGAATATTTACTTTTTGGATTGCCATAAAGCTAAGTCCCTTAGGGTCACTTGCATGTACAAGATTAAAATGTCTCGAAAGGTTGTGTGAATGGATTCCATTTTTAATATTTCTGATATGTTCTCCCATTCTAGTTTTAAAAGCTCTTTTGGTACGTCCTATATATATTTTATTGCAAGGGCATTTTAATAAATAGATTACACCAGTAGTGTTACAATTTAGGTGTGATTTTATTTTGAAAATTTCTTTTGTTTGTGGGTGAGTAAATTCTGTAATATTTGAAGATTGATTTGGATTGTTTATACACGCCTGACATTTTTTACATTTCCAGAACCCTTTTATTGTTTTAAAGGTGGTGGTTATATTTTCTCTTGGTTTTTCTTGTTTAGTTGTTGGTGCTAATAATAGACCTAAATTGGGGGCTTTGGAATGTATTATTCGAGGTTTATTACCTAATATTCGTTCTAATTGAGGGTCTCCTTTTAAAATGTTCCAATTTTTTTGTAGAATTTTTCTAATTTGGTGAGTTTGGCTATTATACCTTGTTATGAAAGTGGGAGCTTCCAGATTGGATAGGTCTTTTTGTGGTTTAGTTTCTAAGATTTGATTTCTAGATAAAAGAGAAGTTTTGGTTAAGGCCTGGTCTAAAATTTTGTTTGAATAGCCTTTTTCTTTAAATTGTGCTGTCATCATTTTAGTTTGTTCAACACATATATTTGGTTCGGAACAATTTCTTTTTATTCTCCTAAACTGGCTAAATGGGATATTATTGAGCCATGTTTTTTTATGAAAGCTGTTATGAGGAATAAAGCTATTACATGCCACTGATTTTTTAAAAGTTTTAGTCTCCAGTTTATTGTTTTGGATATAGATTTCAAGGTCTAAGAACTCGAGTTTTTCTGTAGACTGATTAAAAGTAAATTTTAAATTATAGGGGTTAAAATTTAGATATTGTTTAAAATCTTCTAACGTAATGATATCTCCCTTCCAGATAAAAATACAGTCATCTATGTAGCGATGCCATGAGACCAGATTTGCGCCAAATGGGTTGTTGGACCAGATATGCTCATCTTCCCATTTACCCATAAATAGATTGGCATAGCTTGGCGCAAATCTGGTTCCCATGGCAGTCCCCTCAATTTGGAGGTAGTGGTGGTGATTGGCCCAAAAAAAGTTATGGCTAAGAATAAAAGCTACACATTTCACAATATATTCAATTTGATCATTTTTAAGATCTGAAAAGGTACCAAGTGCATATTGAATAGCTTCACATCCCTGTAGGTGTTCGATAACTGTGTACAGGGATGTGACATCTGCTGTCACTAAAATATATTCTGAATTCCATTCTATATCTGATAAAAAGTTGATGATGTGAGTAGTGTCCCTCAAATGAGACCGTACCTCCAAATTGAGGGGACTGCCATGGGAACCAGATTTGCGCCAAGCTATGCCAATCTATTTATGGGTAAATGGGAAGATGAGCATATCTGGTCCAACAACCCATTTGGCGCAAATCTGGTCTCATGGCATCGCTACATAGATGACTGTATTTTTATCTGGAAGGGAGATATCATTACGTTAGAAGATTTTAAACAATATCTAAATTTTAACCCCTATAATTTAAAATTTACTTTTAATCAGTCTACAGAAAAACTCGAGTTCTTAGACCTTGAAATCTATATCCAAAACAATAAACTGGAGACTAAAACTTTTAAAAAATCAGTGGCATGTAATAGCTTTATTCCTCATAACAGCTTTCATAAAAAAACATGGCTCAATAATATCCCATTTAGCCAGTTTAGGAGAATAAAAAGAAATTGTTCCGAACCAAATATATGTGTTGAACAAACTAAAATGATGACAGCACAATTTAAAGAAAAAGGCTATTCAAACAAAATTTTAGACCAGGCCTTAACCAAAACTTCTCTTTTATCTAGAAATCAAATCTTAGAAACTAAACCACAAAAAGACCTATCCAATCTGGAAGCTCCCACTTTCATAACAAGGTATAATAGCCAAACTCACCAAATTAGAAAAATTCTACAAAAAAATTGGAACATTTTAAAAGGAGACCCTCAATTAGAACGAATATTAGGTAATAAACCTCGAATAATACATTCCAAAGCCCCCAATTTAGGTCTATTATTAGCACCAACAACTAAACAAGAAAAACCAAGAGAAAATATAACCACCACCTTTAAAACAATAAAAGGGTTCTGGAAATGTAAAAAATGTCAGGCGTGTATAAACAATCCAAATCAATCTTCAAATATTACAGAATTTACTCACCCACAAACAAAAGAAATTTTCAAAATAAAATCACACCTAAATTGTAACACTACTGGTGTAATCTATTTATTAAAATGCCCTTGCAATAAAATATATATAGGACGTACCAAAAGAGCTTTTAAAACTAGAATGGGAGAACATATCAGAAATATTAAAAATGGAATCCATTCACACAACCTTTCGAGACATTTTAATCTTGTACATGCAAGTGACCCTAAGGGACTTAGCTTTATGGCAATCCAAAAAGTAAATATTCCCTGGAGAGGAGGAGATCTAGAGAAAGAACTAGACAAAGCAGAGGCTAAATGGATATTTCAGCTAGATTCGTTAGAACCTAAAGGTCTAAATGTGGATTTTGAATTAAGGGCTTTTTTATAAAGGTGTTTTTTTTTTTTTTGTTTTGTTTTTTTTTCCTTTTAGATACATATCACATTTGAGTGGAGTTATATATTGACATCTTTTTTGCTACATTTTTTGAGTTTTTATTATGTAAATTTTTATTATGTATTTCATATTATGAGTCTTATTATAATATATCAATTGACCAATATATGTACAACAGAACATCTGATTTTGAGATCTATAATTAAAATGATAGTAAACATATTTTAAAAATTATTTCGTTTTAACCATTTACTCACATTTGTATAATGTGTAATATTTGTTAATATTTTTATATCTATTATTGTTGAATGAATTCTCAGTTTTATTTTTTTAACAATATGTATAGGTCCAATATATATTGTGAATTTATCATCTGTATGTTTAATTTTACTGTTAATTATTTGTAATTATGTATGATCTATATAAAAGAATCCAGTGCTATGAACTATTAAGAGTTAATCTAAGCCAGCCAATTTGCTAGCTATTTAAACCTGCGAGATGGTCCTATCAAGCATCCTCTGATGAAGTGAGAGAAGACTCACGAAACGCGTTAGGACGACACCTAGAACGACACCACATTGCTTTTCGGCATTCACCGAAATACTGCCGACTTCTAGCTGGAACGCAGGAGGGAAACCGGGTGACACGCACGCGGCTAAGAACATTGCCGATCCATTCATCAAGTGGTGATCGGACAACACATCTATTTTTCTTCAGCTGCTCATTTTATTCCCCTGCAAAAGTATCCAGTATGTATTTGACATAATGTGAGTGGAACGTTCTTATTTTTCTTTTTAACTATTTTATTCATTAATAAATTATTTTCATTAGCACTTGGACTTTTAACTTTATTTCCTATTACTAGGAGTAAAGTGTTATTTAAACTGTAAGTCACTAAATACAGTTTGTTAGCTATCACTAACAGTGTGGCAATAGATACAATATTTCAGTTATAAGGACCATATAAACTGTCCATATTGTATTATATTAATGAACTAATCCAGTATTCAAATACCAGTTCACCCATAACTGGAGTTAACTGAATTAGCTTACACATACAGAGTAACAACAGACAGTTACCAATTTAATTACAAGTCATAGACTGTTATACATTGGAATTCACTAATCCAAGTTTCTTTTACAGAAGAAGCTACAATTGGATGTTAATGTTCCATTTTTCTTTTATCAAGTTTTTGAAGCATTATTAGTTTAAAGCTACAGACCACTCCTGGATATTTTATTAAATTTTTATTTAATAACTCTTCTCTCAAATTTGCATTATTAGAGACCTGTTAGTGGAGCCTCTATTTTTTCCAGTCGAGTTGTCTTTTTGTAGCTGTGCTATTATTTATACCCTAAATAGAGGTTTCTCTTTTCTTTTAGAAATCTCAAACCATTTTAATAACATCAATGGAGTCTCTCTCGTTGGTGCCTTTGCCCAGTCCAGTGTTAGGTTGCTTGTTCGTTATTGCTGGATCTCGTGCATCCGCCATCTTGGAGGCCCCAACTCCCACTTGAGGTGATTGCGGGTGTATTCGAGGGGCGTAGATCTTGGGGTTCTCCATCCAGCGGGGACCGGGATATCCCCCACCGGTGGGAAGTGTGGTATACTCGCATTTGGCTGTCCGCGTTCGGCGGGAAAGTGGCCGCCTTTCCTCGCCGCCTCCTGTGGTAGGCCTCATTTGCTGTTGCGGTGCCCGGTCTCTCCGGGTGTCATGTTTGGCGTCGTTGGATTCCGGCACGTTTACACAGTGCCGTGGGCTGTTCCGTCGGAGGTTTGCGGTTCAGCAGCTCGATAAAACCAAAGGTTTTTTTGTCCATTTTGCAGGAGCTCTAGCCGTGCACGTCCAGCTAGCTCGCTGGTTAGGCTCCGCCCCGACCATGATATTTTATTATATACATTTTTTTTAAAAAGGAGTACACATGTTCATCCCGTGAACATGACTTCTATACATTGCTAACAATGTTTACTATGCATTCGCACATGGAGACCCCAAGACTGTACTGTCTGCCTCTTCTCCCTTTTGAGTAAAATAACGCCCTGGTTTAACATGAGCTCCGTTTTTTTACGCACTTTACAGATAATGCATTAAAAATATAAAAAACAAAAATCAAAAGATTAAACCAAAGAAAATACTCACCTTAAAGGAACTATCGTGCTAGGAAAACAACAAACTTTGTTGTTTTCCTGGCATTATAGCTCCCTAGAGTGTCCCCCTCCCTGTTAAAAAACCCTTCTGTCAGTTACCTGATTCCATGTCCCTAAGCGGCTGGCCCAGGCTCCGCCTCCACTTCTCCTCCCGCTGACATCGGACTGCGAGAAAGACCCAATGCACATTAGGACTTCCCACATAAAAAAGCATTGTATAATGCTTACCTATGGGGTTTTGGGTGATGCTGGATGTCCTCATGCATAGAGTCAGGACGTCCAGCATCAGTTAGGCAACAAAAAAGTCGCCTAACAACTCGGAAGTTCCTCTGGTAGCTGTCTGGTACACGGTCACTAGAGGTGGAGTTTAACCCTTAAAAGGTAATTATTGCTGTTTATCGAAAACTGCAATAATTACAACTGCAGGGTTAAGGGACCTGGGACACTGCACCCAGACACATCAATAAGCTGACTTCTCCCTATATGTCTACTTAATTTCTGCCTCAACACTAGTCTAGTACTTTCTAGATTCCTTATTAGATTAGTAATATTTCTCAGACTTGCCCTTCTCTTCCATACTGCTAAAGTTATTCAAACCAAAAGAATGTCCAGCATGTGGGACTAATGTGAAAGATCTACAATTTTTTTATTGAGATCTCACAGCAAACTGACAACATTTCAATCTCTCTAAAGGCCACTTCTGTAGAGGTCTTTGTCAAGCTTTTTTACAATTGTTAACTCACACTAGACTGTGGATCTAGACTCACAATGCACGTACAACATAGTGAGTCACATTGCACATAGTGAACATTGTAATAGGAGTGCTGGCTGTTTACATTTTTCTTCAACTTATCCAGTAGCAAGAGGTTATGGGGTATTTATTTAAATTATTTTTATATAATGAATCGATATGATGCTTAAGCCAAGAACCCTCCTGTACAGTAGCATTTGGCAATCTCGCATGCAAAACAGTCATTAAGCCATATGCTTTAGCTGTTTTCAGCTGATGCATATGGCTTAAAGGGACACTATGGGCACCCAGACCACTTCATCTCATTAAAGTGGTCTGGGTACAGTGTCCCTGTCCCCTTAGCCTTGCAATGTAAAACATTGCAGGGTTAAGACTACCTCTAGTGACTGTCTACTACTGTCTTGCTGTTTCACTAAGTTGAACTCTGTGAAACAACGCTGCATGTTTTTACGCTTTGCATGAGGACGTCCAGCGTCCTCTAAATCCCCATAGGAAAACATTGATTCAATGGATTTTTTCAAACTGGACTGCATTTGAAGTTTAATAAACACTCTGATTTCTCCACCTGTTCATTTCAAACCCTTGTAACATACGGCATTGGTTTCACGAACTATATAGAATGCTGCACACTGCATCAAATTCTTTATATACAGACAGCTGCATGATGGTAGGAGGTCTATTCATGCAATTAAAAAAAATATAATAAAAAAAATAAACAACACACAAATCATACAAATATTAATGCAATACTGAAAAAATAAATACATTTTTGTGCATAGGTAAAATGTTTCTTGTATGTTTTTAATATCAAATATTTCTATGCTTTTCTCTGTATTGGGTATTATCTGGAATTGAGAGTGGGTTCAAAGTGAATGACATATTTTTGGCTGAAATGAAAACCATAGTGGACATGCATAGTATTTTTCTCACATTGTTTATTTTAGCCTAAATTTTTCAATTCACTTTTTAATTCCAACATTTCACGTTTTACTGAATAACCGTGAGTATATCAGTGTAACTCACTATGTCAAATCACACACAGAAGAGAAAATAGCAGACAGTAAAAAAGGGGGACAAAACTTTTTTTAGATACATAAATGAGAAAAGAAAAGTAAAACAAGGATTAGTTAGATTAAAAACAAAAGGAGGAAGGTATGTAGAAGAGCATAAAGGTCTAGCTGACTGCCTCAATGAATATTTTTGTTCAGTATTTACATATGAAAATGAAGGAAAGGGACCTCAGTTAAGAAAAAGGATAAATGAGTCATTTATTACACGTGAGTTTACAGAGGAAGAGGTTCTATTTCAACTGTCAAAAGTAAAGACAAATAAGTCAATGGGACCTGATGGAATACACCCAAAGCTATTAAAAGAGCTTAGTGGTGTACCAGCAAAACCATTAACAGATTTATTTAACCAATCATTGTTAACAGGAGTAGTCCCAGAAGATTGGAAGTTAGCAAATGTTGTGCCCATTTACAAGAAAGGTAATAGGGAGGAGTTGGGTAATTTTAGGCCAGTAAAGTGATGGAAACCATGTTAAAGGAAAGGATTGTTGAACATCTAAAAACACATGGATTTCAAGATCAGAGACAACATTGGTTTACTTCAGGGAGATCAAACTAATCTTATTGATTTTTTTGATTGGGTAACTAAAATTATAGATCAGGGTGGTGCAGTAGACATTGCTTACTTAGATTTCAGTAAGGCTTTTGACACTGTGGCTTATCAATAAACTGCAATCTCTAAGTTTGGATTGCAATATTGTTGAATGGGTAAGGCAGTGGCCGAGTGACATGCAACAGAGGGTTGTAGTCAATGGAATATATTCGAAGCTTGGACTTGTCACCAGTGGGGTACCTCAGGGATCTGTACTTGGACCCATTCTCTTTAATATTTTTATTAGTGATATTGCAGAAGGTCTTGATGGTAAGGTATGTCTTTTTGCTGATGATACTAAGATATGTAACAGGGTTGATGTTCCAGGAGGGATAAGCCAAATTGCAAATGATTTAGGTAAACTAGAAAAATGGTCAAAATTGTAGCAACTGACATTTAATGTGGATAAGTGCAAGATAATGCATCTTGGACGTAAAAACCCAAGGGCAGAGTACAAAATATTTGATAGAGTCCTAAACTCAACATCTGAGGAAAGGGATTTAGGGGTGATTATTTCTGATGACTTAAAGGTAGGCAGACAATGTAATAGAGCAGCAGGAAATGCTAGCAGAATGCTTGGTTGTATAGGCCATCGTACAGAACACTGGTGAGACCTCACTTGGAGTATTGTACACAGTACTGGAGACCGTATCTTCAGATGGATATTGATACCTTAGAGAGAGTTCAGAGAAGGGCTACTAAACTGGTTCATGGATTGCGGGATAAAACTTACCAGGAAAGGTTAAAGGATCTTAACATGTATAGCTTGGAGGAAAGACGAGACAGGGGGGATATGATAGAAACATTTAAATACATAAAGGGAATCAACACAGTAAAGGAGGAGACTATATTTAAAAGAAGAAAAACTACCACAACAAGAGGACATAGTCTTAAATTAGAGGGACAAAGGTTTAAAAAGAATATCAGGAAGTATTACTTTACTGAGAGGGTAGTGGATGCATGGAATAGCCTTCCAGCTGAAGTGGTAGAGGTTAACACAGTAAAGGAGTTTAAGCATGAGTGGGATAGGCATAAGGCTATCCTAACTATAAGATAAGGCTAGGGACTAATGAAAGTATTTAGAAAATTGGGCAGACTAGATGGGCCGAATGGTTCTTATCTGCCGTCACATTCTATGTTTCTGTGTTTCTATGTCATTCTTTTTGTTACATAACAGTAGAATAGCAACTTTATGATTGCATAACTTACCTTTCTTCTCTCCTCAGCAGCTTTCATTTTGCTTTCAATATCCTCTTTTGTTAGGCTTGTATTTATTGTCTTCTTGGTTTTTAATTTCTCAAGTTTTGCAGGAGGTCTCCCTAATGGTTTTTCCATTGTTTCCAACTAAAACACATTAATTAATATTGAAAATAATTCAGTCATACAGTATAATGGATATTTAAGGAATTGATTCTCTTACAAATATGTTTTATAATTTAATCTTTTTTTCAAAATGAAGTGCCATCAAAATCAAGTCCTATTTAAATATGTGTCTGTCTATTATCTCTCTATGATCATAGGGTCACTTACCTGACCCTTCCACAATCTCATTACAGAGGTGGGTATTACACTTCTGCTACACCCACCCAGTGAGGAGTGTATATGGCGTATATAGCAGTATTGAAGGTTGGGGGTTTTATACCATCAAAATAAGGTAACTATCACAAAAGTGACCACGGAATCCTGAACACAAGACAAGACAAGTAAAGCTCTACATTATGGAGTGCCTGAACAAACTCAGCACTCACCTAGTACATGTCTACATATGCACTCAGTTAGTGACCAGATCGTGATATAGGATAAAATGTCATTGGTCTTTAGAGGTCTGTGCTACCTACCCTTCCCACCCCCAGAGTGATATACATGCATGTAGGATTCACTGAAACACGAGGATCCGATTGTATTATTTATTAAAGTCTCCTCGTATGCTCACTTACCATTACATCATAGGCTTCTCCATTTTTGACAACTTTCGTTTTGCTCTGTATAATTCCTTGAGTCATCAGTTCTTCCAGGATATGTGAGGACGTCTGCCTTTCCTGTTGACTTTTACTGGTCAGCAATAAAGAGTCTGCAGAATGCAATACACAAAGCACATTGCAGTTTTCTTTAAGATTGTAGGCTAGTTAACATACTTTTCCCATGGTTTCCTGCACTCAATTAATTGAAACATAAAAAAGGACATGGTGGGCGAAGGATTTACAGAACAAAATCCAACTAATCATAGCAGACTGGGTTCTGTTATCATACGATAAATACACCGCCAGCTATTGCAGAAAAAAACCCTCCATACATTTTTATAAATGAAAGATATAAACTCTGAAGATACATGAATGATAAGACAAATTATTAAAACATGCTCGTATTGTTTAATTTCTGCAGCTACAAGTCTGAAATTGTATTTGTTTTCCATTAAAACTATATTTCCAGCTCCTGCGAATGCAGTTTATTGTGTGTGTGTGTACACACACACACACACACACACGAACACACACACATCCCAAGCACAGCAGCAAATCTACAACAAAATGGCTGAAAAAGAAAAGGTGTTGCAAATGGCCCAGCCAAAGTCCAGACCTCAACCCAAAGTGCTGTGGTGCAACCTAAAAAGAGCTGTGCATAAACAAATGCCAGCAAACCTCAATGAACTGAAGCAACATTGTAAAAAGTGGGTCAAAATTCCCCCACAACAATGTGACAGACTGATAAAGTCATACAGAAAATAATTACTTACATTTATTGCTGCTAATAGTGTCTGCTCTTGGAAGAGCAATTTGCTTACTTGGGACATACATACTTTGGGGGCTCTCTGCAGTTCAAGTTTTAAATAGGATCAAAAATGAGGCATCTGTTGGAGGCAAGTGTGCAAACCAGGAGTTTTGGTTAATTCTCCCATATTATACATAGAACAGAAAGGATACACATGCATACTTGCTGACAAAATGCACAATTTACAATAACCCACAAAGTGAAAAACACAAAACAAAAACAAGAATTTAGTTATAAGATATGATCATACATTGCATTAGCCTGCCACAATGGCGATTTGCTCCAATGTTCTATGTGTGTAAGTAAATATATTAGACTAGCACTGGACAAAGTACAGTTTGCGTACAAAGTAGTGACGCTATTATTACTGTAAATACGTCTTCTAATTATCACCAATAGCAGTTACATAAAGTACACACACATTCAATCACTTAGTGTTTTAAAGCAATTTTGATAACAGAACCTTTATATATGTGGGCCCCATAATTCTTATGGCTATCAGAAATGGGCTCAAGGATAAAATCTGCTTTTTACACCTTAAGCCTGGTAATTATACCTCATCTCTCCAGTTAGGAAATTCTTTATAGACAACTAAGCTGCATCACATTCATTTTGAGAAATATGTCATTGCAATTTTATTAGGATGTCACATAATGTCTTAAAAAAAAAAGTTATACATATAAATGTGATAGAATTTTGGTTTAGATATGTTTCAAATATAGTAAAACATTCTAATGTAAAGTAATAAAATGCCCTTTTCTGGAATTTCTCTGAAATTCAATTGATTTGGGTTTCATTGTTGCCATGCAGGTGGCAATCATCTTTAGTCTTCAGAAGTTTCTATGACATGTTAGGTAACATAATTTGTTGCTAGGACACAATTTTTTTTTTCCTGTTATGCTTAATTACAGCCTTTGCTTTTGCTATTGAGTAGGGAAGACATTGTATAAGGGAAACAATATGCATTATGTTACTTGATTGTCATTTTCTTCATATTGTCAACAGCGAGTCACCGGCACCTTTGTAAAAATGTTATTGCAGCAACCAAATATTTAAAACACACGAAGCTACAAAAATTATATTAAATCCTGAACACACATTTTTTACTTGTAATACAGCATATAAAATGGGCCAGTTTACCTTAAAAATAGAGATTATTGTCAATATTTGTGGTTTACTGCAAACTATTCAGATAAGAGTTTGAAGACAATTAGAACAATTATGCAACATTCTAAAATTGTGTCAATCACCACGGAATGTAATGGAATTCACATTTTTGATCACATAGATTTGATAAATCTTCAAAGAACATAGCAGGCTTATCCCACTTCTCATTGGCTGGGCATTGCAGATAGACCAATCAGAGCAGTGAGTTGGAGGATCCTGCCACAGACATCTAAAGCCTCAGGAAAAATATGCGCTATATATCCTGCTCATCTTTGCACAGCATCTCCAGCCATCAATAGGAAGAACAGAGAGGTGGGTCAGCAACACTAGTCACAACATCCACAATGGGTGATATTTATCAAAGTCGGAAAAGTGCTGGTTAAATTTCATTTCATTAACTCTCGTGAGACCCGCGGCCGTCGGAGCATTGACACTGGTTACCATGGCCACACTCATAAGAGTTAATGGGAGAGAGGAGCTGAATATGCAGACGCAGCTTGCTGGGCCCCTCTGCAGTAACATGTAGCCGGGGGCCCCACCATGCCACCGGACCACCAGGGAATGGAATCTCTCCCCTGCCTGGACACAGGTAAGAAGCAGGGAGGGGGGAATAACATTCTGCATTCATTATACACAGACACTGCATCTAATACACATAGCACATCTAATACACACACTATATTCACTACACAAACACACTCTGTATTCACATAACACACACTACATACACTACACAAACATACACTGATTGTACAGCAAATGCCGATGCCAATCATTGATTATGGGGATGTAGTATACGCACCTGCACTGCAATCCCACATTAATAAACTCAATACATTGTATAACTCGTTCTGCTGATTTGTGCTACAATGTAATTACTGAACTAACCATTGTGACATGCTAAAAGAACTAAACTAGCTGTCGCTGGAATCAAGATGCACCCTTCATCTTTCCAGCCTTGTGTTTAACCCCTTAAGGACACATGACATGTGTGACATGTCATGATTCCCTTTTATTCCAGAAGTTTGGTCCTTAAGGGGTTAAAAGCTTTTCTGGGAAACTCCCACCCTACCTGACAAAATGCTCTCCTCAGCTGTTCCCACCTCCTATAACTTCCGATCCAATACCAGCACTTTATTTAGTCTACCTCAGTACAAAAAGAAAGCAGCCCGATCCTCCTTTTCCTACAGAGCACCGCAATTATGGAACGACCTCCCACACAATTTAAAATCTTCCCTAAGCCTAAAGTCCTTTAAGAGATCCCTCTCTACATACCTCAAAACAGAATGCACCTGTCATGGTTGATTATATATTTCCTACCTGTTCTATGATAAATTGTGTATATATTGTGTATTAATATTGTTTTTGTATTTTATTGTACCCTAATGTAACAATGTAATGATTTGTGGACCCAGGACATACTTGAAAATGAGATAAATCTCAATGTATCTTTCCTGGTAAAATATTTAATAAATAAATAAATAAATCCGCTGCACACACTGCATCTAATACACACAAACACTACACCCATTACACAAATGTAATATCTGCATCTCTTGCTACGTGCTGCCATAGCAGTGCAGACTCAGAGCTTTTCAGTTATCAAATGCTGAATAGGGCAGCTTTCCAGGTAACGTGTGATTAGACAATAGTGGGTCTGTGGGTAGATCCTGGAGCAAAGTGCAAATGTATTGTAATTACTGTGGAAACCAATGGAATGTTGCTGTTGATAGGTTAGAACTGTGAGCAGAAATTCTAGCTTATTTTGTGCCTTGGTTATTCTGGACATTTAATGAGTAGCAGTACACAATGTAAATACAAGTCTTCTTCCCTCTGTAAAATAACTTCATATGCAAGTATTAACTGCAAAACATCAAGTAAAGTATTAGCTTCCCATGGGAGCAATTTACCAACACTCCCAACTTCCAAGTACTACATATGTGTATTTATGTAACACAATAATTTGTAGAACTACAGAAAATTGGTTTAGATAATATGCTGTATCGAAACAAATTAGGTTTAATAAATACACGACATAATCTGCAGCCCTGTGTAAACCAATCAGTAATAAAACATTCTATACTTAAAGAGGACGTTGATACCCATTGTACAGCGCTACAGAATCTGATGGCGCTATATAAATAATAATAAAATAATAATAATAATAATAATAACAACAACAACAATACCTTTGCCATTATTCAATATTCCTGCTGTTCTGGGAGAACTTGCTTTTTCCGTTACTACTCCAGGCAGATTTTCTCGAGCAGATTCATCTTCCATTCCCAATCCACTGTCCATGGTGCCTTTTGATGTAGCTGAGCCATCCCTGCCACTGGAGTTTTCATGAGACTTATTTTCAATCTGCAAATCAAAGCCAGAAAATGAAAACTTACTAGGGGGACAATTCAACACTAAGGAGCGATATGTAGTAACCAGTTCTAAGAGAAAAAAAATAACCATAAAAATTAATGACGTGAGAAAAAAAAGATTTTAAAAATGATCCACTTTTCCTTATGAAAAAAAGTGCAAAAAATAAATAAAAATCACTTTTCATTATTTGTGCTTTGACTGGCAAAAATCTCTATTGAGTGAATATATTTGCACTATTGAAATTTAAAAAAATATAGACATGATACCCAAAGCATGTTACAAGAACATATTACCAAGGGATTTATTACTGATCAGTTAACGTGCTAAAATAGTACCAATTCGTGAATATCAATGTATACGTCTAAACTTTACTAGGAATTCGCTTTGTTGAATTGAAACAAACCATTGAAAAGATTTTATCCTGGTTTAGTTACTAGAGAAACTGGAGTTAAATTTTAGACCCAATTCTTGGTGGGGGTTTATTTACTAAACAGAGAGTTTTAGTAAACTGCCAGCAATTTATTCTAGTTAAGAAAAAAAATCTCAGAATCCAGATAACTTTCTTTTCTTTTTTTTTTACTAGACTTGTATAAAAATTATTTTTAATTTGGTACGAACAAATCAAATTCCTTTTAATATATACCCAAACAAATCAATTGGTCCAGTGTTTACCTGTGGATGAATCAGTTAGTTCTGGTGTAGATTAAAAGGATTTTGATTCATTTGTATCAGCTGAAAATTATTTAGCTCAAGTCTATTATTTACCATTAAATGATGCATTTTTTTTTTTATATCACTATGCCTTGTATTCGTAGAGCCACAGTGGAAAACCCAATTGACATGGGGATAAAGGCATATTACTATAGTCATGCCTTGTACAATGTCTTTAAGATGATCAGTAGTTAGTAAAAGTACACTAGAACTTTAAAATGATTGCTTTTCTTAACAGATGTCTGGGTGTATTCATTTAACAGCATTTTAATACCAACTTGCACATCTTGGGGTAGTGAGAGTTAATGAGATGTCAATATTCCATGTTAAATGTAAGTCTTCCTCACACTCACCTGGTTCCCTTTGCCATGAGCCCCCCATCCGCTCTTCCTCCCATCAGTGGGCTTCACTTCGACCACCTGCACCTTGGATCCTTTACAGCCCATGATTACAGTGTAACAAAGAAAGTGTCCGGGAACACTGCCCCCTGCCTTCTTATGGTGCTCTAGGGACTCTCTGGTTGTCATGGGAGGTTGCCACAATAAATTAGTCATGCTGGTCATTTCCATTTCACATTCCTTTGGTCCTGTGTGTACGTGAGACAGCCCTCACAATAACAAGTCAGAGAGGACCTGTATAGAGTGCAAGGCATGCCTCACTCATTCACAGAGAGAGTTCTAGGTTAACCCCTCGCATGCAATGTTGTAGCATTGTTTATACTGCAATGCTAAATAAATACTAGCAGTAATCAGTAATCTTTCATTTTATCCCATTACAATAATAGTGATACTTCTTGGTGTTTTTTTTTTTAATTCATCAAAACGATTCCTCCTGCATAAATGCCACCATCACCCAGTGTGAATGCAAATACAATATAAACAAGGCATTTGGACTTTTAAAAGAGTAAACATTTCCCCAGTGAGATCATTTTTAATCAAAAGCAATGCGATGATAATAACCTCAAGCTGGATTCTAGTTAATAGAAAACTATCTGTTGCTGCACACAGATCTGTCCAGAAATAAACACATGGGGTTATTCATTAAACCAGGAATTGTGGAGACATGACAAGTGAACAGTACATTTAGGCCAAAATATCAGAAGTTCTGTTCCTCACCCCTCCTATCCAACTAGATTGTAAGTTCCCATGGAATAGGGCCCTCAATTCCTCATGTATTTTTTCTTTACATTTTGAATTGTCAGATGTATTGTACCTTTGTCTTTTTACATGTACCAGTTGTACCCGTGTACAGTGCTGCAGAATGTGTTTGCGCTTTATAAATAAAAAATAGTAATGATAATAAATGGATTTAAAAATATATATATTTTTCAGTTACTCTGGCATTAGGGATGTGTGACCTGCGGGAAGATGTGTGCAACGGGTTTGCCCAGACACATCCAAATGCAGGGACAAATTGTCCTATTCTTGTTTACGTCTCTCTTGGCATGTGTGTTTGTGTTCTTAAAGGGATACTCCAGGCAGCTAAACAAGTTAAGCTTAAACTAAAGCTAATACGCTCAAATACATGTGTTTAGTTTCTTTTCTTTTAATTTTGTTTAGTTTTCCTGCAGTGCTGTAAAATGTTTTGCTATTTTCAGCAGTGTAAGCCAGACTCCTTAGCCACCTCCCTCTCACATTTCAACATGTTCCTGATTCCCCGTCTCTGAAAGAAACATACTATTTTCAGCCAATGAAAGTAGAGGCATGTCTTTTCTCATGTAAAGAATGCCCACAGCTCAGACTGCACCACAGAGGCAAGGCAAGAGCTAAGAACAATAAGTGCAATATAGTTTGTTACTCTTTTGCCTTCACTTCTGTTTATCTTTCATGTATTTTTATTTCATAGCTTTAAAGGGACACTATAGTCACCTAGACCACTTCAGCTCAATGAAGTGTTCTGGGTGCCAGGTCCCTCAGGTTTTAACCCTTCAGATGCAAACATAGCAGTTTCAGAGAAACTGCTATGTTTACATTTGGGGTTAATCCAGCCTCTAGTGGCTGTCTTCTGGACAGCCACTAGAGGCACATCTGCGACGCTGGATGCGAATTTCGCATCCATCGCGCAGAGAGTCCATAGGAAAGCATTGAAAATCGCTTTGTTTTCCTGACACTATAGTGATCCTTTAATGTAACCTTATTCTGTTCTCCTTCCCTTCCTACTTCCTTTGATACCTAGCCCCTCTTCACAGCCACCCAATATATACTCCTCTCTTTCCCTCCCTGTAATGCAAGTAATACATTACCCTCCATCCCCAGTCAGCCAACCTCACTACCCACCGTTAACCATTTTCCCTCCAGACCCTTTTTCTCAGACTTGCTAGCCACTTGAGTACTCCTTGGGCAGGCATTGTGGGTGTGTCATTACTGATTCTCATAGAGCAGGGGATCACAATTAATTTTTTCAGTGGAACCCTTTAACATAGTGTACCAACATAGTGTATCATTGTAACATTTTAATACAGGGGTGTGTTTGTATGTAATGTTTGCATTTGCATGTAGGGCTGTGTTTGGATGTAGTGTTGGCTTTTAAATGCAGATATACATTTGTGTGTAGTATTGGTGTTTTAGTGAAGGCTGTGTTTGAGTGTTTGTGTATAATTTTGGAGTTTAATTTCAGGTGTTTTTGTATGTAATGTTTGTGTTTGCAGGGGTGTGTTTGCATGTTGTGTTGGTGTTTGATTGCTGGGATGTACGCACATAAACTGCCACATACATACATACATAGTTACACAGATATATACACACACTGACACAGACAGACACAAAGATGCACACTGACACATGAACACATCTTGACACACATACACACACTGGCACATACACACAGATACACACATTGGCGCATATATACACACATACAGATAAACAAACACAGACATATACACAAACTGACACATGGATACACACACTCAGATACACACAGTGACACATACACACAATGGCACATACACACACTCAGATACACACACAGATACATACACTGGCACATACACACTAAGATACATACTGACACAGATACACAAACTGGCACACACACTCAGATATACACAGTGACAGAAACACTGACACACAGATACATACACACTGGCACATACACACAAATACACAAACTGATGCATACACACACTCAGACACACTGACACACACACACTCAAATACACACAGTGACACATACAAACTGACACACAGATACACAGACTGGGGCACAAACACACATGCAGACACATGCACATACACACACTCAGATACACACAGTGACACACACACACAGACACCTCTTAACACACAGATAAATGCACACTGACACACAGATACTCACACACTGGCACATACACACATACACACTCAGATACACACAATGACACATACACACTGACATACACACTAGCACATACACATACTCAGATAAACACACACTGACACAGATACACACACATACAAACACTGACACACAGATACATACACTGCCAGATACACACACTGGCACATGCACACGCAGATACACACACCTTAACACACATATACATGCAAACTGACAAGATACACAACAACACTGACACACAGATACACACAGTGACCCATACACACACTGACACACAGATACACACACAAAGGTACATACACACACACTGTCAGATACACACACATGTAATTTTTTATATTTGCAGTCACCCTCCTGTTAGCATACCTGTTGTCTGCAGGAGGGTGACTTGCTGGCTGAGGCTGGTATGTGTGGGGAGAGCTGCTCACTCCCCGCTGCTACCTCTCTCCCTCCAGCGTGGCAGTCTATATATGAAGCTGGGAGGAAGTGACTGTCCATCACTTCCTCCCAGCATTCAATACTACGTGGGCCTGGTCTCTCTATTAATCGGACGCGGTGTTGACCGGGTCCCTGTACAGCAATACCTATCGGGTGGCCCTATGTGCAGGGGCCACCCAAAGGGTAGATGATGGTGGAACCCCAATTTTGTTCTTGCGGAACCCTAGGGTTCCATGGAAAACCAATTGGGAAACGCTGTCATAAAGAATCACTGGAGCATGGCCATAGGTGGACAGTTCAGCTGAAAAACAGGAATCAGGGAGAAAGCAAAGGGGGAAATGACATGCAATCAGAAGAGGAGCAGAAACTCTGATCAAAGTAAAGAAACAAAAGGTACTTCTAAAGCTAATTTTTACACTATTTGGGGGAGGGAGAGTGTGGAAGCATTTAGTGACAGTAGGTTTACTGTTGAGGGGAGGGGGAAAAGATATGCATTTTTTTTTACCTTTAATATGTTCCCACATTCTCCTTTTCATTGTTAACTTTGTTCTAACAATATATTGTTTGGCACAAGGACACTCGGCTAGATAAATGACCCCTAAGGTGTTCCAGTCTTCTATGGGATTTAATATAAAAAAATTCCTCCTGTAATTTTAGGTGTGAATTTAGTAACCAGGTTTTCCTGGATATATGTAATCCTGCACCTTTTACGTACTCCAAACCCCTAGGGATTTAACTTTTTTGGGGAGCTAATATATTTTTTAGATTGGAGGCCTTGGAGTAGATAAACATATGAAACTCCTCCAGAGTTGGCCCTAGAACTCGGTCCCCCTTTGGCATCTCTCAGTATTTGCAAATTATTTTTCATTTTAGGTGATTGTTTGAAATGAGTGAATAAAGTTGGAACATTTCTACATCTTACCCTACCAGGTATTTTTGATGCTAGAGTCTCTTCCCTTGGGAGTACAAGAACCCTTTCCATTGCTTTATCCACAGGGCCGGTGCAAGGATTTTTTCCACCCTACGCAAACAAAGAATTGCCGGCTTTCACCCCTACATCACAATACCCCACCCATATGATCTGCTATATGAGCCAACACCAGTGCTGCACTCAGTGTCTTATCTCTGAAAAGGCAGTGTGTTTACATTAAAAAGCCTGCAGGGACAGGCTATAGACACCAGAACCACTACATCAAGCTGTAGATGGTTCTGGTGACTAAAGTGGCCTTTTAATGTGAGGTAAATTAGGGATTAGTGCCACTAATAATATACTGCATTGCCTACTTATTACCAGATGAGGACAAGAGGATGATGATGGGCTCAGGCTGCAGTCTGGCTTCACTGGTCTGGTGTTAAAACAGGCTATTTGGAGGCAGTGCTCACAAAAACAACGAACAGGAAGCAGCTCCATTTTTTGGGGCCCTTTACACAGATTATGGTCTGAGCCCCCAGGGCCTGACCGTGAGTTTGCCTAAAAGGCCTGATGCCTGCATAAGCCTGATGCCTACAAGGCCCACCCATGAGTACGGTCACAGGGAGTGGAGTGTATGTGTGTAGGAGATGTGTTATGTGTTATTGTAGAGGATGTAATGTGTGTGTATTCTTATGGAATCCCCTAATGATCTCTTCCAATTCCCCGTCCTTTAGTGGCCTCAACTCCACTTCTCACCCTGTCCCTTAGAGGTCTTCTATCCTGTCCTTTAGAACTCTTCCCTCCCCTCCTGCCCCTTAGTGTTCTCCCCTCCCCTCCTGTCCCTTAGTGCTCTCCCCTCCTGTCCTTTAGTGCTCTTCCCTCCTGTCCCTTAGTGCTGTCCCATACCCTCTTGTCCCTTAGTGCTCTTCCCTTCCCTCCTGTCCCTTAGTTCTCTCCCATGCCCTCCTGTCCCTTAGTGCTCTCCTATCCCTTAGTGCTGTTCCCTCACTTAGTGATCTCCCCTCCCCACCTCTCCCTTAGTGATCTCCCCTGTCCCCTGTCCCTTAGTGCTCTCCACTTCCCTCCTGTCCCTCAGTGATCTCCCCTCCTCTGCTGTCCCTTAGTGCTCTCCCCTGCCCCCTGTCCCTTAGTACTCTTCCCTGCCCCCCTTCCC